GTATCTGAAGCAGCTCTCTAGTTCCCATCATTTGAAAATCTTTATGACCAAACTCAGAACCTTTCCGTTAAGAGGTGTTTCAGCACTCTGTCCACGGACTTCAGGCTGGGAACTTTTCTTGAATTTGGTCATTTGATCGAACCATATATCTATTACATCAGCCTTGAGATAACAGAGCCTTAAAAGGCAGTCAGAAAATTCAAATGTAAGACTTCTGAAGACTAAATCAATCAGAGGGTTGGATAGAATCAAATTCCAAGGACAGAACGAAATCAAATGTGACAAATCTGTGTCCTTTTACTTTGAACAACCTGCTGCAGCCTTTTTTGTCCACTGCAGAAATGATCTGATCGTCTTTTGGCTCTCATCGTTTATTCATTAATCCTGAGAGCAAGTAGCAGCACATCCAAGGACATGAGAACAAAAACAGTCACAGACAAAAATATTGGTTTCAAGCAGGAAGTGTCTGCTCCTCCCTTTAATGAACAGAGCGCAGCAGGATTCATGCGGACAGAGGCAGAAATAAACTGAACTAATTACAGCAGGTGGATCAGGACTTCTTCAGCGGTCTGATTCACACAGGTCTGCTGCAGTTTCATTGATAATATCTGTGCAGAGGATGATGAAGGTGGAGCTGCCAGGCAGGAGGAAGACCTCAGAGGGTTGGAGTGACAGACGAGGATGCTGGGGTAGGAGGAGGTGGAGGCAGCTGAAGCAGTGTGGTGACCCCTAAAGGAAGCATGAGGCGGTGCACACTGGGTCTTTATATCATGCTCTTCCTCTTATAGCTGCTCAGTGGCTCCATAGTGTGGTGGTTAACACATTTGCCTGATCTGCACCCGACATGAAAATCTGGCGGATCGAGTGTGTGGATCCGCCCTCTGTGAGAGAGAGCGTCTGATTTCGTTCAGCTCGTCTCCATCACTGCTGCAGCAGTGCTGATGCTGTTTAAGTCCATCATCCTGTTATGTTTACACTCAGTAACTGACATTTGACTAAGATGATGCTGTTCTCAGTTATACCCTGGACCTTGCTGTTCCACACCAGCCTCACCGTCTCCGTCTGTCCTCAGATGTTGACGCGTTCGATACTTTGATCATATTTTTAAGGTCGTCCGTCCTCAAACGCCCGTGGGGATGCTTCTGCTGGCAGATAGAGATCGAGCTTAGCTCAGCAGCTGCTGCCGCCTGATTTTTAGTTGGTAGATTAACAGAACTGTCGTTCAGTTTGGGACTTTTATTCATTTTTCTTCTTGTTTAGATTAGCTGTAAGGTGAATATTGAGTTTCCGTTGGGAACACAGAGGGGCAGATTTGATGGATGTTTCTGACATTTTAAAGATTCATCACACAAAAAAAAACACTGGTGGAAAGATAACTGATTCTAAAAGTTTGTGGAGCTCGGTAATAATTGCAGCTTTTGCTTCTTCCTTTGTTCGAAGGACCCTTTTGTTGTGTTTCAGTAATATGAATTTGATTAGTAACTCTAGATTTCTTTTCATGAAGTACTCTGAGCTGCAGTATAATTTCCACAGTAGCGATAATGTTATGCTGTCATGTTGCTGAAAGGCAGTTTGAGCTGCCAGCTTGATTAAATGTCAGATATTACAGATGTAATCAGCCGCGCTGCTGTCCTCCCTCCTCAGGAATATCAGATTATATTGTTGTTGTGGACTCGCACAGCTGAATGATATTTTTTATTACTTTTTATTACATAAACAAATAAATCTACAGTACATAACAAAATGAGACACGCACACAAGAAAAGAGCAAAATATTTATTTATAGCACATTTTTCAGAATCCGTCCAAGGTCGAAACATGCGTTGGAGCCCATAGACTGTATATAAAAGATGGAGT